TTCTCTCTCCCTGAAACTGCGCGTTACCTTGTTGCCTGGTAGGAAGAAAAGCTATTCTGGTGCAAATTGAACGGTGCCGTGGAGTATATAATTTGCACGTAACAAATTTGTTACCATACCTTTCCCGTGACTTTAATTAACCAATTGTGCTCTCATATTAAAATCATTTAACTTTTTTTTATTGACTTTTAAAGTATAATTTTTATGTATTTTATAGCGTGTAAATTATTTTCATAATTGTGCATTATAAGATTGTAATAATATATTATCAAGGAGATTATTCTGAATAATTGTTCTGACTTATAACTTAATCGATTTAGCTTAGCTTTTGAGATATTTGCCAAGAAAAATTCTTACTGTTACATAAAATTTTATATACATGTTCATGACAGAGAGAGAAAGAGAGAGAGAGAGAGAGATCGTGGAAAATAAAAGATGATTGAAATTATAATAATTAAAGTTGTAATAGATAAGTATAATGCTGATATTGTTATCGTTTAAGATTCATAATATATTTAATCTTAGTATGAATTGGTCTTGAGATATTTATTTGAAAAAGCTTTTTAGCCAATTCATCTATTATATTTTATCTGACAGTCGCTGTGATATATTTATATAGTTGATAAATAGCAATTACATGTGATATGCACGCTGTCAACAATTTTTTTGATAAATATCTTGAAATCATCGATTAAATTATAAGAAAACATTAAAAATACCAGGTACTGTTTCCTCTATAATTATAATTTTTTATACAAGTATTTTTTTAAATGTATTTCTTTTTTATTTCTATTTTCATTATTCATCAAATATTACTGTTTATCCACATAATTATTGTATTCAAATATATTGAGATTATACGTTGGTTGAAATAATTGTTACCAATGTATGTATAATCTATGATTACATATAACTTATGTACAGGATCTAACCTCGTTGTTTTCCAAGAGACCACTTCAAAATCATAGGATAATGAATGATTAACGGAATCTAGAAACTCTATTTACATTTCTCTACAACTATTTACTTTTAGTATTGTTCATCCAACTATATTCGCCGGTAGAAATTATCCCAGTTCCTTCGAGTTGAGAGAGCTTTGTGAGCAATGAAAGTGTGTATAGAAGGCGCTGTAAGCAACGACGGTATCTTCCATTCTACTTCACTGCTACTTACGACGGATATTTTCTTACACGGCACAAAGGAGACTGGGTTATTCGTAGTGATAATTATTACCCTCTTTGCCACATATGCTCCACGTACGCCCAATGTGATACAAACGGACAAAAGGAGTGGTGTGAAAAGAAAGAAAAGAAAGGAGACAGCGTGAAAGGAAAGCAAATGAACGAGGGTTGCGGATAGCGGAAAGTGGGGGAAGGAGGGGGGGACAGATAGAGGGACATGTACTACCATCTAGTGTAGTCGCACGCGCCCCAGTATCGAACGAAAATGTCTGTGCAAGGAGCGAGAAAGAAGGATGGCAAGGAAAAGTGCAGAAGGAGAATATACGTGTAGTTGCGACATAGGTGTGAGAAAGACGAGAACATTTGGGCGAGTCTGTGCTGCCGGCGAAACTGGCATGATTCCAATGAACGGAGGGAGAAGGGAGAGGGATACACAGGTACATGTCGCGACACAAAACGAGTCCAGTCATTCTCGAAATAGGCAGTTGGAATGTCAGTTCTCGGTAGAGTGTGAGAAAAAGACAGATGGATAGAAAGAAATGGGTAAAACCATTGGGCTGGGAGAGAGGGGAGAAGTTCTACCTATCCGCACCATTCTCCTCTCTTCTGCTTCTGGATCGTTCGTAATGTTCTTGTTCCTTTCTTGATTCTTCGTTCTTTATAACACGACGTATAGAGAAGAAAAAGAAAAGGCCACCCATGTCTAAACCACGAGCTTGGAAGACTGTGGGCAGTCAGTCGGCACAAAGGAGAGAAGAACGACAAGCACGACAAACAGGCCACCGAGAAAGATACCAATGGCATTTAATAGCTTACCTCAGAACGTTTTAGATAATGACACTGGCTGGACTTCGAAGTCGAAGTGGTGCCTTCTTTCGTTTGATTCCGACTGTAGAATAGAATAGGGAAAGGAGATGCGTTCTCTCTCTCTCTCTCTCTCTCTCTTGAATTGAAAGAAAAAAAAGGAAAGAAAAATGATTGGGAGATAATCGAAAAGAGAAACAACAAAATCATTGACTTACTGGTGAGAATATGGACGAAATAAAAAAACAAAATAAAAAGTAATTGATAATGCTCATATTTTTCCTCTTTTTTTATATTTCTATAAATATAAATAACATAAACCAATGAAATTGATTACACATGAGAATTGTAATTGGTTCGAATATCAAATGTATTTTGAATATTTCCTTAGGATATTTTCATACATATGTATGAAAAATACATTGTTTTTTTTTTTTTATTTTCAAGAACATTTATTTTATATTTTTTTTTGTCAATATATAATATCGAGATAAAAATTAGGACTGTTCTTTCGAAAAGGATCTCTGGTTGATAATATTGAAATTTAAAAGATGAAGGAGATGAATTCTAAATATCTTTGAATATTTATTAATCTTTTAAACATTAACAAATCTGTTTATTTATAGATATTACTAAACAAAAACATTCTCGTTATGATAGCCACATATTTATTTATTTATCATGTGCTTAATATACAAGTATGTGAAAAATATAGGAATATTCATTAAATAGAGGTTCTTGAGCTGATTTCAAGTAATATTTTCCTTTGCAAAGACTTTTGTTATGGCTTTGTTAACGAGTTATTAACAAAAATGAAACTTTTTTTGACATATATTGCTTGGATTTGTTTGTGCTCATCGCCAGCACATAGCCAACACTACTGTTATGGCTAGACTAGACTATTGTGCTCCGTGATTGACCAATGTTTTTTGTTAATAATTAGTTAATAAAGTTTTTACAAAAAAAATATATTGCTTGAAATTATCTCAGGAATCTCTAATTAAGTTTGATATATTCTGTATGATATAGATAGATATTAACTGATGATGATATTAATTCACTCATTTACATTTAAATACATAACATAAAAAATAGTAAATAGAAATAATAAATACATATGGATAAAATTCAATAGTATAGTACCAAAGAATTTTTATTAATGTAAAAAGAAAATTAATTAATTTTCTATTTCTCTTATTCTCTTAAATTTCAGATTTAGGACCATTGGCATTTTTCTCAGAAAAAAATAGGCAAAATTAGATATTATTATAACAAACTGACGATTCCATTTACAATCTCTTGTATATCAAACGCAGAAATAAAAAAAAAAAAGGAAGAAAAAAAGAGAATAAAATAGCGATTTCTGGTGTCATCGTTGTTTCGTTTCCGCTAGTTTTTCTACACGCGTTTGTGAACTGACCAACCAAGCTAGAAAACTCGGTGAAGTGGGAACATGGTGTTTAAATAAAACGAGAAAAAAAAACATCGGGAGAAATGTTTTTCGCATTCGTTTAAATTGAAGCGCGATGGAGCCTAGCTGAATAGTGGAAAGCGCTAAAAACGTTTAAATTCACGGTAGTGGTTGGCAAACTTGTATCTCGCGTTCTTCTTCTTTTCCTGAATTAAAGTCTTTTTCAACGTACTCTATTTTTTGTTTCATACAAATTTTTCATGCCAACTGCTAATTTCCTTCTTTTATTCTTATATATATATATATATACAACAGTTATATTGACATTACAAAGAAAACAAGTAACGACATCTGACTGTGAAATATAGATACACATAAATCCTTCAAATTTCTTATAAGATTCGAATGACACATGACAAAATTATAATTGAATAATAATAATGAATTATATAAATAATTGAAATTCGAATGATAAATTTCTTATAAATGAAACATAACTTTTATTTATAAATTATAAAAATTATCTATAATTCTAATTAATTATAGATACTTATATTTGATTTTTTTCTTGTTTTGATTATTTTATTTTACTTCGGTAGAGATAAGTTAAATTTACGATATTTTCATATTCATTTATAACTTTTAATTTTATTCACTTAAAACTTTTTCTCTCTCTCGTGTTAAACTTATAATAGAATTTGAAAAATATTATTGCAATCACGGATAACCTCAAATATCGTGGACACGCATAACTCCAGCTCACCCACGATATTAAGTAACTCGCTTTTAAGCGAGAAAAACTTGGTGGTACAGTGGTGATTTGCACTTTATCGACAACCGACAGAGAACACTACGTAATTTGCGGTTCGCCAATGTACGATAAAAAAAACTCATACCGCGTAATTCGCAATTTGTCATGAACTGAAAAACGTATTACAGTACGTGATCAGAGATTTCATTAGGAGTGAATAAACGATTTACAAAATCACATAGTATCATAGTTGGCCTTGATTTGCTTAAATATTATATATATGTATATATATATACAACTTTTTGTTCAATTTCGATTGCAATATTCAAAATTGCAATGCAAAATTTTTTATAATCAAATTATTTTTAAGTACTTGCATTTGATAAATATAATTATATTTAGTATATTATTTTTTATATGTATTATCAGTCACAGAAATTATTGTGTTATCAAAACTAACTAAGAAAATTTTATTTTTAATGAAACTTTATATAAGTGGAACATAATGAATTATATACATATATATGTATAAATATAACAAAAAATATAAATTTTTTTCTATATAATAATAATAATGCATAAAAATTAAACTGTTCACACTG